ATGGTACGGATGGTTATGTTCTCTCCAAAGTTCAAAGGTTGAAATTCTAACACTCATGGTAATGGTGTTAGGAAGGCAGAACTTTTGCCAGATAATTGGATCATGAAAGCAGAAACCTAATGAGTGAGATTAGTGACTCTATAAAAGAGACCCATGAGAGACCTCTCACCCTTTCCAACATCTAAGACATAGCAAGAATACATTACCTATTGATCAGAAAGTGAACCATCAGTAATAGAATTGCTGATGGATGGTATATGATGTGAAAAACAAAACAGAAAAGTGAAGGATTATTCTAAGGCCTGATGAATTGTAAGGAATGGGATTCCTATTAATAGATGTGGAAAACAGTACTGGTGAAACATGTTTCAGGAATATATCACCAGTTTAGTTTTAGACATAGTGAGTCATTGGAAATGACCATGATGTATTTTCCTAAGTGAAATGCATCATGGCTTTCAGAAGATCCAGTAGCTAAGCTTAAAGTGCCTAAATTTCCGTTTACCTATCTAAACAGAAATGTTGAGCAGACAGCCTGATATAAAAGTCAGAGTCCTAGTTGGAGACATATATTTAGGAAACACCAGAATTTAAAGATTTACTACCAGGTAAAAACTAAAGCAGTAAGGACTTATTAAAATAAATAATAAAAGAGAAGCTAGAGGACTGAGATATGTGGAACTATATTATTGAGTTCGAGCAGATGAGACAATAATCAGAGAAAGACACTGAGAAGTAAATTAAGAAGAAAACTAAGAGTGAAGAATTCTATAAGCCAAATGAGGAATGCACTTTATGGAGAGGGAAGAGGCAGGCATGAGAACTGAAAATAGCCTAAATATCTGTCAGTTGAGGAATAGATACACAGAATGTGATATGTCCATCAATACAATGTTCTTTTTTTCCTTTTGGAAACGTTTTTGCTATAGGGCGCATGCGCTCGCCAGAGAGACAGAGAGACAGAAAGTGAGAAATCACTCCCCGGGGGGATGGCCACTCCTCAATCCCTTCTCCTCCATTCTCCTCTTGGGATCTTGGGCACGCATGCACATGCACTGGCATGAGTATAAGGCACCAGGTTCCAAACTCAGCCGCGGTCGACTACATGGGAGTTCAGCAACATAGCTATTACGCTAACTGCTGGTCCCAACACAACGTTCTTCAGCAATATTAAGTAATAGGGCTACTGACATATGTCACAATATGAAGAGATCTCAGAAAAAAATAAAAGCCACACACACATACACATCGACTCCACATTGTATGATCCCATTAAAATGAAATTTCTAGAAAATGCAAAACTATAGAGACATAAACAGACCAGTTCTTGCTTAGGGACTGAGGGAGTGGTTGAATGACTTTGAAATGATAGAAGTGTTCTAACACGAGGTTTAGGTGTCACAACTACATAAATTTACTAAAATTTACATTACTGCACATTCAAAATGAGCAATTTTATGAGATATAAATTATACCTCAACAAATCTGTTAAAAAGAGAAAGAGAGAGAAAGGAATAGTAAGAGCGAGAGAGAAAAATAGGAATGGAAACGGATACTATATCTCTAGGCAAAGCCTTTGAACTTTATTTTTTTAACTTCCTTGCTTCCTTCCTTTCTTTCTGTCAACTTGACCAGAGAGGGAGGGGTGGGGGAATGAGAAAGTAAGTCACGAGGTCCAGGACCTGAATCCCTGTGGACCATGTTGGAGCCCAGCGCCCTTAATCACTACTCTACCTGTTGGCCTCAAGCCTTTGAAGAGTGTTGCTCTAAAGAAGAGGAACAATAGGAGGCTGTATCTCAAAGATGATGTAGTAAAGAGAGTTTTGCTTTGTTTCTAGATGGAGAAAAGAACAGCATATGTGCATGCTGACAGGGATTATCCAGGAGAGAGTAACTATCTTGTAAGATGCAAAAGAAAGAACTGCTGACATGGCTTCTGCAAGTAGGTAACAAAAGATGAATTAACAGTGGACAAGTTGAGCGATTGTTCTTAGAAATACAATAATGAGGGACCAGCAGAATGGTTATGTCACTGGACTCCCATGTAGTCCACTGAGGTTTGAGTCCCAGACCTGGTGGCTTAAAACTCATGCTGGGCACGTGCGCATGACTGTATTCATAGCCATTCCCCCGGGCAATGATTTCTTGCTTTCTGTTTTTCTGTCTCTCTCTCTCTGTCTCTGGTGAGTGTATATGTCCTCTAGCAAAACTCTCTCTCTCAAAATAAAAAAAAAGAAATACAATGAATATACTATACCATACTCTATTATACTATGCTATGCTATGCTATGCTATGCTATGCTATGCTATGCTACACTATACTATGCTATAATAAAGAGATTAAGTTTTTGCGGCTACAAATGATGCTGGCTGTGTGGCATGGTGATGAGGGCTTGTGGAAGTTATCTTCTGTTTACTTCCCTTTTAACAATGAAAGAGGATGTGTGATTATCTGTTGAGAGTCAGAATGAGGAAGACATGGTATATGTAAGTATAATAAAGGAAAAACTTTTTTTTTAAGAGCAATTTTTGCTATAGGGTGCACACACTCACTAGAGAGACAGAAAGTGAAAAGTCACTCTCTAAGGAGGGATGGCCATGTCATAATCCCTTCTCCTCCATTCTCCTCTCAGGATTTTGGGCACACACACAAGCGTGCGTGCGCACACACACACACACACACACACAGACACCCAGCATGAGTTTAAGCCTCCAGGTCCAGGACTCGAACCACAGTTGATTATGTGGGTGTCCAGCAATATAACCACTATGCCATCTGCGGGTCCCCAAAGAAAAACCTTTTAAAAATTCTGATCAGTATTAAGTTGTACTTGAAGTTCTTAGTTTGGATTTTAAATTGAGATCAGTTTGGAAAAAAACTGTTTTGTCTGTTTTTGTTGTATGTGGCTTTGTTTTTTCATTGTATTATTATTTATTTTTATAGTCAAATTAAGCTGAATAGTTTCAGGCATGCAGTCGGCAGAGAATTGGATTTATGCCAGGATGATGGTTTTCTGAAGTCAGTGTGATAAAGCAAATGAGGGGCGAGAAAACTGCAGTTGTATTTAAGAATATGATAATGATTGAAGGAGAAAAGTGAGGATTGAAGGAGGGAAAAAGAGCAAAAAAAAGATCAGAGTCCATAATTTTTGAGTTTCCATAAATTTAAAGGACTCCAGGAATCAAGGGACCCAAGGGAGTGAGCAGAAGAAGCTGGTCAGAGACAAGGATGTTTGCAAGTGCTGCAATTCAGAGACTGCAACTATTGGTAATAGCAGATCAAATGGTTGAAGCCAATTTTAAAACAAGATCATTCATGGAGAATGAGCTCAACCAGAGCTAGCATTATACTTTATTTAATTATTACTACATATTATTATCTCACGTTTACCTTATCACATATACAATTCATATGTTATTTTTTCCCCACCAGAAATCTTCTCTATACAGTTTTCACTACCAGTTGGATAATTTATCTCTCTGTAACCTTGCAGTTTTACTTTTGAAATCATTCTCTCCCATGTCACTTTTTAAAAACACGTGTTCCAATAGCTTGCAAAATAGATGATATCTCAGAAAATACTGCTTTTTTCCCGCGGAGGTCACTGCATGTTGTTAACTCCTGTCAGTCTGGTAATAAATTCATTCATCCTCTCTACAGTCCATTGCAGTCACCTCCTTCTCCTCCTTTTTGTAATCTCTAACAATTATTCCTCAAATGCCAGTCTTCAAACTAAACCTATCTTATAACAGCATTACACATAACTCGTGTGATTTCCCTAAACTTAGTATATAGTTTTGTCTTATTTGTTAGTAAAAGAGCACATATTGCCTTGAAAGAATCTAAATCTGGATTTCGATGTAGTTTTAAGACTAGACATATTTGTTGTAAATCTCCCAAACTGCTTACAGAAGTGCAGTAACTGAGTTAACATACAGGAATTGAATGGGTAGAACACACAATTGTAACTCTAAGAGTGAATTTTTGTTTTTAATCTCCATGTTGAAATGTACAGTACCTTTCTTTTAAGTAAAATAATTAGAAGGCGGGTCAGATAAAGGCGAGAAATCTTAAGAAAACTGATGTAGGTCCTCTTGCTATTTTTGTTAAGAAGTAGAACCAAATTGCTCTCTATTACCACAATGATAAACTAACCTAGAAACAAATATGGCTGGCACACAAAAAAAAGAAGAAAAATTGATTGAGATACCAGCACCCTGACTTCTGCTTTTAAAGAGATGTTAATTGAGGTCTTAGTTATTTGCCTCTCTTCTGTACACATGCTCTCTCTCTCTTTTTAATTGATGTTGGTCACTTTCAAATTGAATTACAGAAAAACAATACTGACGTATTAAGAGGTACTCATATCAAACAATTGGACTTAAACAAAATGAATATAATTAGCTGTGAGTTGGCAAAAGGGCACATGAATAATGTGAGCACAGTTTGCCATTCTTTCCACAGACAACCGGAAGTATTTACTTATTCCAATGACTTTTACAAGCAATACCTCATGTAGCCAAAGCAATAATAAGTAATAGGTTTAAAACTCAAAAAAATATGTCTTAGCAGCTTTTGTTCCAGTGGCAAAGAACACCATAAACAACCAAGTTTTCAGCTTATCATCTGCAACAAGATGCACATTGGCATTCAGTTAACACAACTCTGAGGCTCTCAACAATTTTACCAAGTTTTTATTCTTTCAGTTTATCTCTTCCCTTGTGCCCCAGGCAATATATTCCTCATGATGGCAGGCAGAGGCATAACCATGACAGTCGACAGTTAGAATGGCAATAAAACAATCTTATCATAGGAGCTCAGTCTCCTGTCCAATGGAATTGAGAGTATGCGATCTTTAATTACTCATCTGATACTCAGACACATGTCAAGAACACCATGCACATTTCACCTGGAATGTTCCCCTGTCAATTCAGTGTCTAAAAGAATGAACATACAGGAAAAGAGAGCAGCAGCAATACAGAATGGGTTCCGACTGTACCTGGTGAATGAGGCGGAGGAGAGCAAAGCAGAACCACCCCCTGGCCTTCCCTCACAGAGACTGCACTTCTTGTCCGGCCGCTAAAATTTCCCAGATCTGTCAACATAACACAGCATTTAGATGCAAGGCAAAGTGGAATTCAAAGAATTACTATTATAACTCGTATTTACTTTTCAGTCATTATGCAGACAAGGTTAATTTTTGATTGTTAAGCAGTGATAAGAGGGCCTTAAAAATAAGTCTGCACCGTTTCATTTAAATACAACAATTTAAGTAAATCCATAGAATACCACCTTCTTTATTTCTGTTTGTAGTACATACAGTTTGCCCGTGGAGGTATAAGCTAGGCAATGCAAGATTTTTTAACACATTAAATAGTTTATCTTTTTAAAATCTTTTCTGTATATTGATCTTTCAACTTCCAATAAAGTCCATTCATTCATAGTTAGAAGAGAAATTTAAGTGGTTTAGAGAAACCTGGCCTCCAACCTACAGGTTTAATATGTTACACTAAGAATAGTATATTTTTAATTAATTAAGTTTTTTGGAGAGGTTTTTACTATAGAGCATGTGTGCTCACCAAAAAGACAGAGAGACAGAAAGCAAGAAATCAGCCCCCCCCAGGGGGGATGGCTATGCCCCAATCCCTTCTCCTCCATTCTCCTCTCAGGATGCCCCCCTAGGGGGGATGGCCATACCACAATGCTTTCTCCTCTCAGGATCTTGGGCACGCACTCACATGCGCCCAGCGTGAGCTTAAGCCACCGGGTTTGGGACTCTAACTACCGTCAACTACATGGGAGTCCAGCAACATAGCCATTACACCAACTGCTGGTCCTAAGAATAGTGTATTTATAACCAACCATTAATTTTTTAAATTAGAGAGGTTTGTATGCTTTAACAAAATATAATGAGGATGTCAAGTGTTCTTTTTCTATAAATGTGAATGAAGATGTCATGTTACTTTCATTTCATGGAATCCTAGAATAGAGTCTACAAATTAATTATACTCATTCATTTTATTAGTCTGGGGGTATTAAAACCATCAGAATACTCATCCATGTGTATGAGGGATTATAGCATTGAAGTTCAATGACCTTCCTTTAAATTAAGTGCATTTGTGCAATTTGTGAAGACTAGCGTAAAAAGAAAGTGACCCAAACAGAAATAAAGTGTAACTTTGTTTGTATTTCCCTTATTGCTTATTAATATATTCATATCTCAGTATTTATTCCCCTTTCTCTTTTCTTGGGTTAGGTTGACCAATGACACCATTTTTAGAATTGTTTCTTACAAATGGTATGAGTTTCATAGTTTTATAAATAAACATTGTCCCAGAATTTTGGGTCTGTAAATTCATGTTTCCATGGCGAGAAATGCTTCTTGAAAATGTTCTGCAATTTCTTCCATAATACACATATTGTAAGAGTTGTTTTTAATCTTTGTATCATGCTAAAATAGTATGTTTCATACCAGTACGAGAAGTCTTCAAAAAGTTCATGAAAAAATTTAGTATTCGGAAAAAAATTTGCATGGACTTGAAGCACACAAAAAAGGATAAATAAGCTAGTGTTTTAATTCCATTTTCCTATGAACACTTTTAAGTAACTGCACATAGCAGAGACTCTAATCTGACAAATTATGAAATTAAACAATGACCAGAGTATTCTAGATGGAAAAAAAAAGATTATTCTAGATGGATAAAAAAACTAAACAATGTTTTAAAAATTCTTAAGAGAAATCCTATATATTATTTAGTTAGTTTTTTTGTTTGTCTGTTTGTTTGTCTGTTTGTTTCCCCCGTAGAGTGTATGTGTTCCCTGGAGAAAGAAAGAAAAAGAGAGAAAATGAGAAAGCACCCCCTGTGGGGTGGTCATGCTACAATCTCTTCTCCTCCATTCTCCTCTTGGGATTTTGGGCACACATGCACATGTGCCTACATGCTTTTCAGGCCTCTGGGTCCAGGACTTGAAACACAGAGTTGGCTATGAAAGATCCAGAATCAACCAAGACAAATTATGAAATTAAACAATGACCAGAGTATTCTAGATGGAAAAAAAAAGATTATTCTAGATGGATAAAAAAACTAAACAATGTTTTAAAAATTCTTAAGAGAAATCCTATATATTATTTAGTTAGTTTTTTTGTTTGTCTGTTTGTTTGTCTGTTTGTTTCCCCCGTAGAGTGTATGTGTTCCCTGGAGAAAGAAAGAAAAAGAGAGAAAATGAGAAAGCACCCCCTGTGGGGTGGTCATGCTACAATCTCTTCTCCTCCATTCTCCTCTTGGGATTTTGGGCACACATGCACATGTGCCTACATGCTTTTCAGGCCTCTGGGTCCAGGACTTGAAACACAGAGTTGGCTATGAAAGATCCAGAATCAACCAAAACACCACCTGCTGGCCCTTGTTACTCTTTTTGAGAGATAAGTGGTAATTCACTTATTTTCTGAATTTATAAATTGATAATTTATTAAGTAAGTCTTCCTAAATAATACCTCAAATACACTTACATCTAGGAGCACGGATGGAGGACTAATGGACAGTGAAGATGTCATGCCCAATAGACAGCAGTATTCATAGTTGGAGAAAGCTTTTAGGGAATTTATTTGTTTATATCTTTACAATGTTTCATTTTAAATATTATAGTCAAGCTTTTTACAAAGTAGGAAGACAAAGAGAAAGAACAGTCTCAGCTCTAACTTTCTAGGGGAATGGTTCCTTTTCTTTTTTTTTTTTTAAGTTTTCAAAGAAGTCCCATTTATTACCTCATTTCATGGTAGGATGTTGTTTCATTTCCTAATTGTTTTTCCCAGAGACCTTTCTGACAGCTCTTTCTGTTTCCATTTTCCTCCTCTACTATTAGAAAAAAAATTCTTTCCTTAATACAACTCTGATCTGTAATCATCGGATTTGGTGATTATAGACTAATAATGTTTTCTTGCTGCTTACAATGCATACACTCAAATTTGTAATATGAAATATGATGAACTCATCCAAATTACACCTTCCCATGTGCCCAAGTCCTCACCAAAGTTACTGCCATTTCCTACACACTGTGTATTTTTTTAAATATTTTTTATTATTATTCATACATTAAATTGCTATACATCATTTAGATTGTTAAATGGTTCTCATTATGAAAACATTTATACTTTTTTTTAAAGAATTATCTATTTAATTTTATTTATTCAGTCATTTATTTTAATTTGACCAGAAAGAAAGAGAGAGAGAGAAAGTGAGAAAGCAAGCCACTAGATTTGGGACTTAAACCAGGGTCGGCCATGTGGGAGTATTCAGCACCTAACCACCATGCCATCTGCTGGTCCTCCGTATATACTAACTTTTATAGTAAAACTCAAGTTCATTCATTTTCAAATATATGTACACTCCAAGGTAATGATCTTTGATCTCTATTACCAGCTGTTAGATTTTAGAACTTCAAATGTACTGAGTAATAAAACATATACATTTTTGTATATGTTATATCTTTATAATATACAATATACACACACGTATACACATTCATACATACATACACATATATGTGTAAATACACATACATATATTCACATATATATATGTATGTGGGTGTATGTATATATGTGTGTATGTGAGAGAGTTTAGTACCATAAGTCATATACACACACACGTGTGTCTGTGTAGCTAGCTAGCTAGATTGATTGATAGATGTTTAGGAATAGAAGCTACAGTTTATTCCAAGAAATGATCTCAAAATGAAAATAATGCATACCAAATTTTCTTTCTTTTTTTTTTTTTTGGAGAGGTTTTTGCTATAGAGCGCGTGTGCTCGCCAGACAGACAGAGAGAGATATAGAGACAGAAAGCGAGAAATCACCTCCCAGGGGGGATGGTCACGCCGCAATCCCTTCTCCTCCGTTCTCCTCTCAGGATCTTGGGCACGCACGCACACGCGCCCGGCATGAGTTCTAAGCCACCAGGTCCGGGACATGAACCGTGGTCGACTACGTGGGAGTCCAGTGACATAGCCATTACGCTAACTGCTGGTTCTCCCAAATTTTCTAATTTGACTTCCTTGGACTCTATTCCTAGACATTCAATACAGGAATCATATAGTGAAGTAGTGCTTTCGGTAGGGCTTTAATATTTCTTCAGGGATTATATAGCTTTACTTCCCTCTTCTAATCTTCAGTGAAATTTTTAATTATGGACAGTTACATAATATCAATTCATTTTAACTGAATTTCTTACATGGTATCTCAGAAGTATAAATGTATTGAAATGCATTTATTAAAAGTATATGATTATGATGACATTTCAAATCAACCTACTGTTTTTAAAGAATAGTTTACTAAAAAATAGTGCTAAATTTATGTCTATTTCTGAGGAACTGAAGTACAGTCATGGCCTAGAAATTAGACACAAAAAAGGAGAAGAAAATTATAGAATAATTATGACCTGATTGTGTTTTGAGATCACAGTGACCCAAAAGATAACACTTGGCTATAATTGCTTTATTTGTCTCAGCTGTTAATACAAGTATGCTTTCACATTTCCTCATAGAATTTCCTATCATTTCCCAGCAGTACAAAGATAAATGGATTTTTTTTCAATTGTGAATAGACCTTCCTCCCCATCATAAAGACGTATAGAGTAATTCTAAAAATAATTCTGTATTTTATGGAGAGTATACATGTTTCATTTAATGCTTCATTCCAAGGGAAAAATAGCAAATTATTATATCATGTAAAAGTGGTGTTTGTATGTGGAAAAATTCTTGGTTGGTGTGGCAGCTAGAGCAACGTCGGAATGGAAATACCGATGGCCATCTGTATCTCACCGTGAACACAAAGGCAGTTAATTTCTTTGTGGGTACTCATCTGGGAATTTAGAACTCTTTCAGGGGGCAAGCACGCAGTTTGGGCACTTATCCTATTATTCGAATAAATTATATATTTTATATGTCGAGGAGAGAAATAAAAAAAAAATCCCAGAAAGAACTACGGATGTGGAGTTTATTTTATTCCAGCTGTCACCAGGTCTAACATATGTGGTAATATGTTCTATTCTTTTTTTTTTTACCTTGAAGGGGGAAAGAAAAATACAAAGCTCAGTA